TTAATTGTTAATATTAAGATAGGAATAATGTATATTATTAGGGGAATAAAGGTTATTGAACTTGCAATTGTAGTCTATCTTGTTATATGGATATTCATATATAGCCGATTAAGGCCATATTTGATTGACATTACACAAGTTAACCGCTGCTGCATTCTTGATACTAATTAACTTTTAATTGTGTTTTTAGTATAAAGTCAAAATTTGTTGTCAAAGTTTCAATTCCAAATGCTAGTTATGTGTGGAAAAATATATATAAAAAATATATATATTGTAAAAACATGTATATATGTACATATAATTTTCCACAAGGGGTTTAAAATATTTGCCTTATGTTATCCGATAAATTAAATTTTTAATATATGTATATATATTTTTATTGAACATATTATTAATAATAATCTGATTAGGAATCACTAAATTATACATATCAATTTAAGAGAATGAATACAATATTAAATATTCATAAATGTATATACATAATAATATATAATATAATAATAATTATTTCGTCATGTCCGCATTTCGTCTATGTCCTATTACAGTGTATTTGTGTGCTCACAAATTTTTGATTTGTTTGTTGTTTCCCTTGCTCCAGCCAACTTTTTGGCCATGCGACCTAACTGGCTATAGATTTGTGTTTCTTTTTTCGATGTTTTGTCTTTTGTTGTTTTTCAGGGCTGCAGCCCTTTTGGCCAACGCAAGCAAGGCCGGAGCTGCCCAAAAGTCAGTCATGCATGGGGCGTTTGTGACCCAAGCAAATATACTTTAAATAGCTTTGGCCCCTCGGGCGAATTTGTCCTTTTTTTTTGTTTTGGCTGCGGGGTGCCTAAATCATATTAATGAATTTTCTTTTGGTCATGTTCGGGCTGTAGTGGCACATTAATTATGCAAAATTAAATTTTATATCGTCGCATTAAAGAGAGGCAACAAAAAACGGAACTGGACTGAGAAGGGTCCAAAAAGGGATGCCTCGACGCCTTTGCTGGCTGGGCATTTTTTTTATCGCGCGGCTTATTCAAATTTATGAATTGAAAAAATATTAAATGCCAGCAGAGCGAGGCGTAATCCGTTTGGGTCATTAGGATGCAATGCGATTTTTTTATCCTCATACACACACGAACACACACACACATTCGTGGACAGCTGTGACTGTGGCTTAAGCGGCTTGCATGGCTCCGCGTCCAATTTAAAGTCTACAGCCCAGGACCTTATTACCCCGCAGCGCAGTGCAGTGAGTGTGTGTGTGTTTTTTGGAAACTTTAATATTTAGTGTTTATCTACAGCCGTTTCATAAATCATGTCAATTTGCTGGACCTGAACCGGCGCCAAAGCGCGCTGTAACTTTGTCGGTAGGCAAGCCCAAAAATGTAAGCACGCCAGACAAAACGGTCTAATTAGACCGCAGCTGGCAGATGCGCCCAATAACAATAGCCAGAGTATGATCTGCGGGAAATGCGTATAAATTGCAATTCATGCCCTGTGCGTCGGTAATGAGCGCAAATGACGCAGCCAACGAGGCGCATGAGTGATAAACAGCTGTCGAGCCTGGAGCCAATGAATAGCCGAAAGCACTGCTCGACTAATTAACATAGGTGCTTAATGGCCCAATGCTAATTAACGGTAGTTAAACAATTGCCGTCTAGACTTTAAATTACGGCGCAGCTTAACAGGCAATTCAACAATTAGTTGCAGTTTGCAAGCAGATCTAACAAGAACTTTAAGTTGTGTATATTGTTAATTGATTTAGTATACTAAAGTGCTTACACACTTTAAGCAATAAACAATAATACAAATGATCAAATTGATAAATAAGAATGCTCTATTAAACTAAATACTATATAAACTAAATATTAACTTCGATTTACAGACGAAGTACTTTGCTCAAAAGTCTTTAGGATTTCTCAATTGTTAAGCTCGTGCTCTATTTCTGTCTCTGTCTCTCGCACTAGCGCTTTGCATCATTTAAGCCCGTAAGTTAAGAAGCTCTCGCTCACTGCTGCAATTCTCTATAGCCGTCTGTGGGCTCGATACGTGCCAGCCATTTAAGTAGAAGTTGCAGCCAATGGACCGACATAAACCCAATAACTAAGCGCTCAATGGGCTCTACCTAGGTGTGTGTCGGTGCGTCTCTGTCTGTGTGCGTAAGCGAGTGTGTGTGTGTGAGTGTGTGTGTGCGAGTGTGTGTGTGTGAGTGTGTTATACGGGCCAATTTGTGCACGATGGCGAGACCAATACGAAAGCCGAATACGGGTCTGGTGTACGCTTCTGCATAACCTACAACATTTTTGGCTTAACCCCACTTGCCACGCCCAGTTTGGTTGGAGCCCAGTTAGTGTCTTGCCGGGACCAACATGTAGTTGCGATTAAAAGTTTTTTCCTGTTGCTGTCATTGGCAAATGTCTGTGGGCAATCAAGCTGCATGAGTGCATTTGGTGCCTGCTGCTGCACCTGCCACATTCTATCAGTCACCGACCACACACACACACACACACACACACACAATCACACTCACACATACATATAGGAAACATACCCCGCGAGCGTGCAGCATCATTAACGTGGCCGACTGTTCGTGCACAGCGTTCTAAGCCTTTCACTAACTGCTGTTGTCCTTGTTGATTGTGTTGCTCTGGAATCGGGTTTTGGCCACACAAAAGGTGCACCAAGTCCTTTGTGCGCTGCTTTAATTATCGTTATCAATAAGCCAACCAAATGAAGCTGCTAGCGACTCTCATTTCAGTACTCAAACTTGCTCCAACTTAGACTAGATATTTATTCATTATAAATATATTCCCATAGTTATAATAATATGGAAAATAATAATAATCAATTAAAGTTTTATTCCTCTAATAAAAAATTGAATTCATGAAGAAAATTTATTTCGAATATAATACAAAATAAATAGAAATTCAATGAAATAAATTTGCACATTTCGGATAAATTTCATTTACAACTTCAAAATGTAATTAGATTATCCCTTTCACATAGTAGAAGCCTTCACATGCTAAACTCTGGCTCTAAAGGGAGCTTACGCTGCGTATGCGCAATCTGGGCTAAGGAATGTTGTGTGTAATTGCGGTACGACTGGAAATAGGTAATGCTCAGCTTATTGCCAGTGCCAAATTGCTTTGTGCATATGCAATTCCATAGCCTTAAAATTTGAGTCTATTGCCTAGCAATCGACATATACATACATACACACATGTATCTGTGTGCCCTGTTTGCCTGTGCCCATCAGAGCCTGCATAATTCGATTGAAAATTAAATTGTTATTAGTTTGCGCAACAGGCAATTGAATGTATTGAGCACTGTGCTCCACTCCCAGTTATGGCCCGGCATAAAAGCTGCCTCATTAGCATAGAGACGATGCGACGCGTAGCAGCCGCAGCGTGGATGCCACACAAATTTACATGCAACACTAAAAATAACATAAATATTGCCAGGCGACAAACGAAAAAATATATATATATGTATGTATATAAAAAAAAAAAAATAGAAGAACAAAATAACGAGAAAACGACAAAAAGTGAAAGAAGACAAACAAACCGAGGCAGAGGAAAAACTACACACACAAAAAATGAAATTTAAATAAACCTTAAAATTGACTTAGCGACAGCAGCGACGCCGGCAGCGACGGCAACTGCGACAGCCACGGCGACAGCCAGCAGCATAAGAAATTAACACAAAATCAAAATACATAAAAATAAGAAAAAAAAGGAGCGAAAAAGCAACAAAACTGCTAAAGCAAAAACGTCAACAGCGCTGTAGCTAAGCCAGCAGCAACAGCTAAGCACAAATCCCTGAACTCGCACTTGTCGACGGCTGTTAAATACCCTGGAAATAGAAGAACGGTCTGTAGTGCCTGCTCTGCCATTGGTTTTCAGTGTTGAGTTTGAGCTTTGAGTTTTTGTCTTAGCATTGGCTACTCTAAATAGACTTTTACCTGGATAGTTGAATATTTCACTTACAATACTTATTTATTTACTGCAAAGTTGTGTACACCCACTGCAGCTTGCTTGGTTTCGGTTGCGACGACCAACATGCTAACATGTAACCACGCTAATGCAGCGCATCGAACTTGAACATGTTGCGAGCGAGAGTCGACTCTGAAGTTGGAGCGGCAGAGGTGTGCATGTGTGTGTGGGTTAACAAACAAGTTTTACGATTTGTTTTCTTATTATTGTTAATTTTTACTTTGTTTTAATAGTAGTCTGTATTAATTGTATAAATATATTTTTAAATATTTTTAAATTTCCATTTTAATAAAAGAAAGAAAGAAAAAGTAAATATTTACTAATTTATTTCAATGTGAAATAGTAATAATAATAATATTACTGTTCTTATGATGCACAATACATCGTTTACAAAATTTAAAAACAATTTAGAGTAAAAGAAAATATTTACTAATTATTTTATTGTGAAATAGTAATAATAATAATATTAATGTTCTTATAATACACAATACATCGCTTACAAAATTTTTTGTTAAATTTTAATAGGTTTTGTTTGATGAAAAAAAAATCTAAGCTATGTAAATAATATTAATATAATAATATAAAAGAAATTTTATATATTATGCAAGTTATATTATTATGATTATCATTATTATTATTATTATTATTATTATCTCATATTATTTATTACATTATATCTATTATGATATTATTTTTAATAATTTTACGCTTAGATTGAGTCACCTAGTTTGATTATTATACTTCATCAATTGCGTTGTTGAAATACATTAATTCCTTTTTCTCAAAAGCTTTGTCCCACTGTGCCGTTCGTTGCGCTTAAAGCCGCTCTTCATGCCACCCACTCGTACAACTGGAGTCCCACACACACACACACGCACACACACACGCCGAGCGAGTCGCACACTCGCACACAAGCGAACAGCAAACAAGTTCTCGACCAAAGTTCAAACGCAACCTGGTTGGCGTTGGCTGCCGGCAATGGCGACGTCGACGCCAACGTCGCCGCCAGCTCAGCTCAGTTTGTTTATAAATTTTGTGCTGTGCAGACGTCAGCGCATCGCTGTGTCGCTCTCTCTCTCGCATACTCGCATATTCGTTTTGTCGTCTTCGCGCGTGGCGCGTTAACTGCCTGACCTCCCTCCCAGCTCCTCGCACGCACACTTGCCGCCTACGACAGAGCAAAAGGCGCGCGCGACTAGTGAAGCACACAGGTTACACATACGTGCGTACACACGTACATAAATACATCTACATGCATTCATCCACATATATACAGGGCTGTGTGTGCGTTTGAGTTTTCATATATATTTGCATTTGTATATCGTGTTTACCGTGTGTCGCGTTGATTTCTTTTGTTTGCTGGCCAATTGTTGGGCTTAATTAATTGCAAGTAGCATATGGTTCAGCAGCAACAACAACTACCACAAATACATTGAGAGACTTCGAGTTGATTTCGCAACAAACGAAAAGGTATTGAAAAAAGTGCTTACTTATCCACCAATACACAAGCACAAAAGCCAGCAGAAGCAGAAGCAGAAGCAGAAAAAGCAAACAGCGACAATCGAAGCAGCAGCAAAGCCAATACAAAACCAGTTTTCGACAACGCTGCAAGCAGCGCAGTCGCAGCGTCCAGTACGGTAAGTGTGTGTGTGTGTGTGTGCGTGTGTGAGTTGTTGTTTTATCAGTCTGTCTGTGGCAGACGTCATCGTTGTCGCCGTCGCCGTCGCCGTCGCCCACACGCCCACGTCGAATACGCCTCGCCTGCAAAACTGGCTTCGGCTTTGAAAATGTAACTTTAATTTGATTAAAGAACTGACTCAAAAAGCTCGATGACTCCATTATTGCCATTTCGCTCACTCGCCCGGGCACTGACTGCGAGAGCGGCGACAACTTGTTGAAAGAATTTTAATATTCCAACTAGTCAAACACACGCAAAAGACGCTGGCAAAGGAGAAAAATTCGAGTCGTCAGCAGTTGCTAAAGGACAAAGCATGGGGAATAATTTAAATCATGCTAAATTAAAAACAAAACTAATTTGCACAGTTTTGCAGTTGGCTCCAACTTTGTCTGCGCTGCTTCTGTTGACAGGAAAAAATACTCATTTGGACAGCCAGCAGAAAGAAGAGCAGCGGCAACTACATCAACAACAACAACAACAACAACAACAAATGAATTGCATTGGCAACGGCTACGGCAATGGCAATAGCAACGGCAACAACAATAATAACAACAATAGCAACAGCAACAAAATCCTGGTAGCAAACTTTTTAATTGTCAACTTTTAACCGAGTCGCAGCATCGACTCGACTCAACTCGAGTTTAGCCTAGGCCGAGAGTGCGACTCGAGTTCGAGCTCAAAAGAGAAGCTTTCAGCAGTGTTTTAATGTAATTTTTTTTTTAGTTTTTATCTACATTCACTAATTGAAATTGAGTTTGCTCGCTTCTCCCTGCATGCAGTGTATATATTCCTTTGGATAGACCCAAACTTTGCAGCGACTTTGTGTGAAATTATTTAAGAGCTCAATGAATGGAGCGAACTTTTAAGTTTACATTGGGAATGGAAATGTTAGAATAGCTGAAACAGATTCCAGAGAGAGCTCTAGCAATCTAATCTTATATAAACCTCATAGAGTAAATATACATAGTTTTCTTTTTGTTATTTATTTATGAGAAGTTTATATTCCACTACAATTGAAACTTTGTGGAATGTATGCCCTAAGAGCGTTGTATGTGTGCTTGCTTTATAGTTTATTTATAATATATGTACATTTGCATATTATTTATGTAAATATATAGCACAATAGAACTCTGATTAGATCATGCAATTTTTCTGGGATTTTCACTCGGCGCAAGCTCTTGCTGGGCATTTTATTTACTCAGATATATATTTCGTTTGTATTCACATTTGCAAACTAATTAAATCTGTAATGTATATTAATAGAGCTTCCCAGTTTCTATTGCTCCAAAATCTGAATTCACTTATATTCTGGGAAATTTAATATATATAAATATATAATATTCATACAAAAGTTTTTTATGAGCTTTAGCTAGAATATTCGTACATAAATCACAAGTTACCTAATTAAAGTCCCATGTGCTTCTGAAGCTTCTGTTAAGCTGTCATGTTCCCAGCACTTAAATCTTCTTAATGTGTTTTTAATTGCTGGCAGTTTCTTCGTACTATCTTTCAATTAGTCAACACTGAGTCAAGGCTTACGATAAGTAAACGACAATTATAAATATTCAATGTACTTTTTGACCAGAAAAAGCTCGCTCATGAAGCCACAACTGTTGCCTTTTAGCCGAGTTAATTAATATGTTGCTATTATTATTGTTTGCCTCAAAGTTTATGTTTTTTCTAGTGTCTCATTTAAATACAGCGTTTACTTATCTCGAGTGCTAAGCTGACATATCAACTGAAAAGTCGACTAAAACTTGAGTACAAGAAAATGAAATTAGAAAAATATTTTGGCAACACGGCATTTGGCTGGCATTAGCTAGAAGCTAGAGCAAAAGTAAGCAAAACTTTCTCTTACCGTTAGATTATATATGTACCTATTCGCAAGCACATCCTGCCAGCCCGAGGAGCTCTGGCAAATATTCAACACTTTCGCCAGCCAAATATTTGAAATACATTTTGATGTCTACGCCGAGTTTTGCATAATTTATGCATGTGTGCAAAAATGCTAATAACATGCGAAGCCATCACTCTCTGCCTATCTCACTCTCACTCATTCACTCTCTCTTATTTATGTTTATGTCTGCTATGTGTTGGTTGCGTCCTTGCTCTGCCTGCCAGACAGTTTATATTTTTCAATCAGTGTCAGAGCTCTCGACAGCCTGTGATAAGTTTTATTGCCACATATTCCCAATGCGGAGGCTGCATTCTTTAATTGCTTCCAATTTAATTAGAGGCCTTCACCCTAAATATGTGAGGGTGCTGACCGACTGACAGATATTATATGCAAATTATTCCATTTCGCTTTATACTCTACTGAAAGTTTATTATTTCCAATCGAATATAATTTTGCTAGAATATAATATCTTTTTACTATTATTATTACTAAAGAATTTTAATCAAAATATATTGTGTATTTATATCACACATATTATTTATTACATTTTTCATTTCAAATAATAAATTTTTACTTCTATTTCTCCAAGAAATTTACAAAAAAAAAAGAAGTAATATTATTAGCCCCAGCTGTGTGTTACAAACAGAGTCACATAGAACACATGTCCAGATTTAGGCACAATGATTACAGAGAAAAATAAATGTAGGCCAAGTCCCGGATGAATTTCGTTTAAATAGAAACTAACAATATTGCAAAGTCAATGGCAATTTATAAATGTTGGTTTTAACTTTGTGTAACTAGTAAAAATATGTTCTTTAATTATTTCCCTTCAACAAATGTGTAAAAATATATTCTCATAAATAACAGCAAAAATGCTGTGGCTAAACTTTGTCAGGTGACGACAGAGAGAGCGAGCGAATGAGAGAGACAGAAGGCGAGAGTGAGAGCGAACTATGCTGTAAGTGACACTGCCCCAGTGGGGCGTCTCTTGGCTTTTGCCTCGGCTTTGTACTTGCAGATTGAAATGTAAATAGAAACCGAGCTCACAATATATATGCAAACATTTGTTAAGCCTGCGGCATGAGCCCGCCGAGCATTCAGCTGCGGTTACGTCAAGCACTTCTGGTTGGCCAGGTCCTAACAAGTCTCGAGTTCATAGAAAAAGTTTTCTTCATTAGAAAAGTGATTCAACAGCGCAGTGAACGAGGTCATGAAATCAATCGAGCGACAATTTTAAGTGTTCGAAACGTATCGCATTTTAAGTAATCGAAACGCATCGATAAATTACTTCAAAATGCAGTTGCAGCCAACATACAGATTAATTCTGAAATTGCTCTTTAAGCGGTTTTAAATTTACATTATATTCAACCATTAAATAAATGAGATGAGACTACGATTAAAGTCATATTAGACTACGACAAAATAAACTCAGTTATAATAATATATATTTATGGATATGTTGCTTCAATAATGGTTTAGGAATTTTGGGTGCAGCCAAGCAAGTGAGTAGGCTTTATATGCATTATCTTTCGTATTATTATCTGATCTGATCAGAACTGAACGTTTGTCACATTAAATGACTCCAAAAAGAATCCAAAATAAAACTACTGCAAAATTAGCATAGCTATTAAAATTCTAAATATGTGCACAAAAGCTGTCTTTTATATATGTAAATAGATGTATATACATATATGTATGTATTTCTATATGTACATATATTTATATACATGAATATATATTGATGACGACTTTGTCTGATTTGATTCAGCGCTGACTGCAAATATTTTAACTATCTACAAAAGTATGAAAGTATCTTTGTGAATCATCGTATGGAAGGGTCATGGCAGTGGGCTACAATAACTCAAGTAAATATTTAATATTAAAGTAAACGAAACAGAAATTAAATTTAAATAAATAAAACTTCAAGTGCTACGCCATGAGAAAATTCTCATGAAATATCTATATAAATTACGTAGCATTTAATCACTGTGTATCTTGAAGGTAAAATGGTTGCTCATATTTTCAATTTTGATGCCTTTTTATTTATATTTGTACACATATTTTATATTTTGTATATATTTTTCTTTACCCCGTCTGTGGCGTGGAATATGTTTAAGCAAAAAAAAAAAGAGAAAAAGAAAAGAAAAAAACAGGCATTTTAAACGAGGCGTTGAAACGAATTTATTTTATGACTCATGTGCGGCTTTTTGTATCTTGCAGCAAACAGCAATGCGAGTCAGCACAACTGCCACAACAACAACAACAGCAACAACAACAACTGCAGCTTAATTGGCGCGCGTGTCAAAGAGGTGAGTTATAGACGAGAAGCCCCTGAACGAAAGCAAGCACAAAAACTGGCTACAAGTCTCGAGAATTGCGTTGTTAAAGATGCTTTGAAATGGAAAATGTCTGGAGGCAATGTGACTGCGGGGCATGCCACAAGTGGCTAACAGCTCCACCACCTGGCGTCAGGTGTGGGCAAAACGTGTCCGTAGCAAAACGATAGTGAGGCCTACTAATTGTCTCTCTTTTCGTAATTATACTCTAATATATATTGGCTGAAGAAGGGTATGCTTGATCTAAGGGAAAGTGTTGAGCATTGCTTCGGTAGGGTTTATTTATGTTAATGATAGACTATTTGATTATGGAAGAGAATAAGGTAGGTCTTATTTATGTATATTAATGATAGACTATTTGATTATATGTAGAAGAGAATGAGCTGGAAGTAGAATAAAGTTGATGTAAGGGCAAGAAATTTGAAAATCTGTGCATTTCTATAATATTTATACACCTATAGACCTGTCATGACACGCATCGATAACGTCGATGATTAGAGCTCAATATAGATATTACCTATCATCGAATTTATTTTTCTGTTTACATATAATATTAATGTATTATTGCAGTTGAGATTTAATCACTGCAGACATAATTATTCATTTTATATATCAGGACGGTTTTCCAATCTATTTTTCCAATTTCAACAAATGCAATGGGTTTAACAATGAAGTAACTTACTCAATCTAGTTATACGCTTGATTATCTATTATTATAAAATTAGCCAACCCACCAGGCAGGTATTTTCAGGTCGACTAACCTTAGCTTTGCCTTTGTTGCCTTACTTGCTATGCATTACTTTTACGCTTTTCTTTTTGTGGCCTGTCTACGGCTTATTTTGTAAATTACGGCGTCCTTACAGTCGGGGCAGAAGTGGGCGGTTGCACGGAATGCGGGATATAAGCAGGAGGATTACAGCTGTCAGCTCCCTCCCTATGTATGTGTGTGTGTGTGTGCGTGTGTGTGTGTGAGTGGGGAAGGCGGCGCCATCAGCTTCGTTGCCACATAATGCAACGCTTTTTGCCCACTATTGTGTGCGGTAGCCGTGTCTGGCTTGACTTTGGTCTGGGTAAGGTCAATGCTACTGGCGACGGAGACAGGGAAACGGAGTCGGAGCCGAAGCCGGAGTCGCTGCCGGAGTGGTAGCCGGAGTCGTAGCTGGCAGCTGCTGTAGTCGAGTGGTGCACCGAAATTTACATTTAATTAGACATAATTGTAGCAATTTATACGGCAATTTGTTTTAGGCCTACGGGTGTGGGGCAAATACTTTAAAGTGATTCATTGAATCGTAATTTTGTGGCGTGATATCAACGGAAATAACATTTTAATTGCATTTAAAAATTAATTATGCCTTGCTAATATCTATATCCAAAACTAACTGCCGGCCATTGGTGTTTCAGTAGTTGGGATATTAACTATAATGTTAGAGAGTAGATAAACTATGATAGGTGTACAGTTCATGCATCAAAGAGTTCAATAGGCTTTTCTGGTAAGCTTGTTAAAAATTATTATCTAAAATTTTGCGTTTCTTGTCTGATTAAATGTAAACCAAGAATTCGATCTAAGATAACATATTTCCAAAGGCTGCAGCTGACTATTTGATTAAAATATTCACAAACACTGTAGACAATTCGATTCCCCAATTTAATATGCCACACTCATTATTTGCCCTATCCCATAAATAATATGCAAAATTGTGTTTGTGTATTTTACTTAGCAGCAAATTCCAAGTTGCCTCCAGGGCAAGTTTCTGGCTTAGACCACATTCTCCATCAGTTGCAGCTGGCTATTATTTATTAAAGTTCAACTCTACACACATACACACACGCACACAGTGCACTTAATCATTGGGTTATAGGAAAGTCCTGGCCCAGCTTACCTGCGCTCACCTGTTCGAAGTAATTTGCTAGCAAAACTATTTTCGTTGCTCAACTTCTGGTCTTGGCCAAAGGCAGCCAGATGCTGGCTGTTGGCTAAAAAGGCGGTACTTAATGGGGCCCCACCCCTAGTTAAAGTCTTCTCAATATTAGACTGGATTTAATCGCAATTCGATTGGAGTTTTCATTTACATTTGAACAAAATAACCACATAAAAATAAAGAAGAAGAAGAGAAAAACTATAGGCAAACGCTGATTTTATATATGTGACAAAAGAAGGATTTTTCGTTGGGTTTGCTCCATTTTATTTAGTTTTTTTGCGAGCATTGCGATAGACTCGTTGTTGAAAACTTTTTGGACAGTTATCCTTGGAATTGTTCGTGACACGAGTCGTGGCTGCAGGGGGCAGGTGGCATGCATGCCCAGAGGCGTGGCAAACGGGGAGCGGTGCAGCACGCTTAATATTTGATTACCCGAAATGCGGAGGCTGCAATATGGCAACTGTTTGCCAATGGCAAATACCAAAAGTCAGATGTTTGTTTATGCAGATCTCTTTCTCTCTGCCACTCTCTGTGTCGTTCTGTTCTTCTCTTTCGTATGTGTGTGCTGAATTTATTAGCATTGCTTGCATTGCCTCAGGCTTGTCGGCTGAGCAAGAGCTGAATCAATTGTTAGTGGTCCACATAAATTTGTAGTCAGATTATTTATTTTCCTGCCGGCCTCTAATTGAAACATCCACTCGGCATTTATGAACTCCAATTAAAATGTTGATAATCAAAGAGCATTATTCCGAATAATAATTACAAATAAAAGATAATGAATATTGCAATTAGAATTTCAGTTAGCTATATCAAAGTATTTATAGGCATCTACATCATATTTCTAGGCAGCATACCACCAAAATTTCATTTTCAGTGACAGTTTACTCTCAAGTCCTTTTAAAACTTCAAACTCTCTCTCCCTTTTCAAGCCGAGTGCTTTTTTCTTTCAAACTCTAAATGAGCATTTCTGCACCGATTTTCATTCATACTTTATTTACTGTCCAATTCGCTCTTTGAATTATATATTTCTCCCCCTCTATATGTGTGTGCTTCTTCAACTATGATTTTTCTCAATCACTTGAGCATTGATTTATTTGACCTTTGCTGCTTGTTCGGAAAAGTGCAACTAGTTCGGAGCTGCCTTGCGCTACTGCAGTTCGCAATTTTAGCCTGCTTGCGGCAGCCTTGCTCTCGTGCCCCTCCATCAATATCTTGGACAGCTACTTCTTCTTCTGCTGCTGCTCTAAGTACCTTCTACCTAATGGCAAACATATTTGAGTACTTCCGGCTGTGCTCCTCATCGCCCGCCTCCCCCAGGCCAGGCTACAGAGCAAGCTGTTTTTTCAACTTGAGCGATTTATTTGCTTTAACATGATGCAGGTCACAGTCAAGCACAGCATCAACCACCCCCGCGCCTGCCTGCCCACAAATGCCCCTGCCATGGCCATAAAAACAAACCTAAAAGTCAATAGCGCAAAATATATAAACCCAAGCAAAACTCGTAAAAAATCATTTCTTATTTATTTGAGCGCTGAGCGCGAAATGAAATATTGCGCAAGCAATGAAATTACATTTTTCCTTCGGTTTTTTGTGGGCGTCATTAGCGGTGCGGCTGCTGCGAGGAGGAGGGTTAGCGTTAGCCAAGGGAAGGATGGAGAGGGGGGCATTGGAAAACGAGCGGAATGGAGCGGATTACGCCTGTCGATTCAGCGTAAATATTTGCACAAATCTAATGAGCACTTGTGGACCGCGCTCCAGGACTGCGAGAGCTCAGAGATGACGCCTGAAAATGTTTAGAAAATGATAACAAATACCCCAAAGTGAAATCAAGTATATAAAAACTGCAGATGGATATAGTAGGAGATACCCTGTAGAAGGGGTTAAAAGAGAAATTGAAGTGTAATTTATATTTATTGACTCTATTAGCGATTAGATATTCCTTAACGGAATTGTCAAATATATAAAAGAATTTACATTAAGTATATATGTAAATATATATACCCTTTTCATTGTCTCGTTTAGTTTATTCCTATAATAATAAAGATTGTTCAGAGCAAAAAAAAAAAGGAGACTACGTAAATTTGTTGAGGATTCAAACAAATCGATATTTATCTATATAATTACATTCTTCCCCAATGGTTAAACGATAAGGTTTATCTACCAACATCTCATTAAAGCAAATATTTATTTGTGCCCGTTTCATAAACAAACTCAACTTTAATATACCCCGCCCACCTATATATGTATGTAAGGTATAAGGTAAAAGCAAAGAAAAGAGCAGACATAAAAATACGAGAATCTTTTACACATTTGCGGTACCAGCTCCCCGGGGCGTCGGCCTGCCTCTACCCCAGGCCTGATAAGAAACTTGAGCACTTTGTCTCACTACCTTGGCCCCGCCCACACTCAGCCTAGCTGCCCTTTAGGCCACAGCCACAGCCAGAGCCAGAGCCAGGGCCATAGAGTAAGGCAACTTAACTTGGCTCGTTGCGCATTGTTCCATTGGCAACATGAAGTAGCTGTCCCCCATCTCCGCTCCAGCCTTCCCATACACTATATCATGTTATCCACCCACTTGCACATGTGTTTTCCTTTTGGGCCATGGCCATTGTATATGGCAGCAGTTGCCCCTGGCTCTCCACTTCACTATCACAATCTTAGTTATGAGCTTTCTGCTTGTTGTCCTTTGGCTGCTTCGGCCTGCTTCAGTCTGCTGTCTCATTGTGACTCGAGCTGAGCATTTTCAACTTTCTTTCATTCACAATTGAAGCGCAGAGACAGACTATTAATGACTTACCAAGTCATAAAGTTAGTAGGTACCCGAGTAACACTAATTTTTTAACTTATTGTCGAGTAAGTTCAAAGAGTTCCCAGAAGTTTATCTGCGAGGATAGTCACATTCAATAGATACCCTCTCTTATGGAAAAGTATATGCATATATACTTTGTTTGTCGAATGCCTTATCTGTACCAGGGCCATGGCCCTTCCCAGGGCCAGCAAAAGTCAGCTTATATCCTTTTATAAAGTCCCTTTGCTTGTTGTTTTTTTGTTTTT